CCACCAATAATAATAATAATAATTAGAAATAGCAAATATAACCTTGCCAAACAATTGTAGAAAACCCCCCAATATCATTCAAAAATTGAAGAATCCCCCTAAAATTGCAAAAAACCCCTCAAAAAGTTTTAGAAACTATAAATAACCCTCTAAAAAGTTAAAAATCCACCTAAAAAGTTTTAAAAATTACAAATAGCACCCTAAAAGTTTACAAAATTCCCTTTAGAAAGTTTCATAATTTTATATAATCCCCTAAGAAAAGGAAGAATAGGGAAATTTTGGTAGCCAGGGGTAAAATGAAGAAGTTTTTGTTAGCTTGACCTGGTCTAAGATGACCAAATCAACAATTCTCAGTAGAGAGAATTGTGGAACGTGAAAACGTGGAAGAGTTGTTGAGAGAAAATCTCTCATTGGGGCGGATCTGGGGGGTGGAGTTAGTGGGTTCAGCCCCTATAAATTGAGGAGAAATCTCCTTGAGAAAACACAACAAAAGAAAGTAAAAAACCTCTTACCCATTAGCGGAACCCCCCTCAAAATTCGTTCTTTCCTCTTCATTGTTTTCTTTCACTGGTATCAGAGAAGTCAAAAGGTTATAAGTTCTACAATAAATAAAAAGGAGTCATTGAAAGCAGAGGTGCTACATTTCTAGAGAATCTAGAGGAAGAGGAACAAGTTCAAGAGGAAACAGAACCTCTAACTGTAATAGATGATGATTATTACAGTGTTGTTCCCACTAATGATCCTGATATTGTGAATGAACCTAACCTTGAAAATGATGAAATACCTATGGAAAATAATGTACCTAATCAACCGGTTGTAGGCAACAAAAGGCAAAGAACACAACCTTCATGGATGGATGATTACTATTTGTATTCATGTGAGTCATCCTGTTTTTCGGTAGATACAAATATAGAAGAACAAGATCCCTTAACTTTTTCTGATGCGACGAAATCGCATGAATCAGCTTTATGGCTAGAATCTATGAGAGAAGAACTTGATTCCATAGAAAAGAATAAGGTATGGGAGTTATGTGATCTACCAGAAAATAGAAAAGCCATAGGATGCAAATGGGTACTCAAAAAGAAATATCGTGTTGATGGATCTATTGACAAATTCAAAGCACGGTTAGTTGCCAAAGGTTATAACCAGAAGGCAGGAATAGATTTTCAGGAGACGTATTCTCCTGTAGCTAAATTTGCATCCATTAGAATTATTTTGGCTATTGTTGCATATCTTGATTTGGAGTTATTTCAAATGGATGTTAAAACTGCATTCCTTAACGGAGAGTTGAAGGAAGCAATATATATGCAACAACCTGAAGGTTTTCAGATAAAAGAACAGGAACATAAAGTTTACAAATTAATGAAATCTCTATATGGTTTAAAACAGTCTTCTAGACAATGGTATCTCAAATTTCATGATGCAGTTACTAAACTTGGTTTTATTCAAAATAAATTAGATAATTGTGTATATGTCTTGAAAAGTGGGAGCAAGTTTACTATATTATCCTTATATGTGGATGATATATTGCTCGCTGGAAATGACATAGAAATGTTGAATAAAACCAAGGCAGATCTCAGCGAAAAGTTTGAGATGAAAGACATGGGAGATGCATCATATATTCTTGGAATTCAAATAATTCGAGATAGAAAGTCTAGAATGCTAAGTTTAAACCAAGAAAAATATTTAAGATCAGTTCTTAAAAGATTTGGATTGGAGAATTCCAATCCGGTACCAACTCCGTTAGTTATGGAAAAGAGATTATGTAAAGAGCAAAGCCCTGGAGAGGGGCAAAAGCCATTAGATGTTCCTTATGCTCAAGCAATTGGAAGCTTGATATATACAATGTTGTGCACCAGACCTGATATAGCTTATGCTGTGAGTCTAGTCAGTAGATATCAAAGTAATCCAGGACCAGCACATTGGGAAGCTGTTAAAAGGATTATGAAGTATATCAGAGGTACATTGACTCATAGATTAGTTTATCAAGCTGATTCGCTTGAACTCCTCGGTTATTCCGATGCTGATTTCGGAGGTGATAAAGATGATGGAAAGTCCACTTCGGGACACTTATTTATCTTTGGAGGAGGAGCTGTTTCTTGGAGTAGCAAGAAACAAGGGTGTGTTGCTAGATATACGCAAGAAGCTGAATATATAGCTTGCAGTATGGCAACTACACATGCTGTCTGGATAAGACGGTTTTTGATTGATCTTGATCTCAATTTGTTAGAAGGACCTATTGATATTTATTGTGATAATCAAGCAGCAATTAGCTTAATCAATAGTGGCGCGAATAGCTCCAAAGGAAAACATATTGAGATCCAGTATCACTATATTCGAGATATTGTAGAAAAGGGAGAAGTCAAAGTGACTTATATCCCTACTACAGATATGATTGCTGATCCTTTGACAAAAGGAATACCAGCGGAATCTTTTATCAAACATGTAAGTTTGATGGGACTTAGGAATAAATAAGTCCAAGTAAAATTTCATGAATAATGAAATAAAAGTTACTCTCAGAAACATCTGATCTCACAGATAGTGGGAGGCATATCACTTGGTTGATTTGGTCAAGTGGGAGATGTTAGCTTGACCTGGTCTAAGATGACCAAATCAACAATTCTCAGTAGAGAGAATTGTGGAACGTGAAAACGTGGAAGGGTTGTTGAGAGAAAATCTCTCATTAGGGCGGATCTGGGGGGGTGGAGTTAGTGGGTTCAGCCCCTATAAATTGAGGAGAAATCTCCTTGAGAAAACACAACAAAAGAAAGTGAAAAACCTCTTACCCATTAGCGGAACCCCCCTCAAAATTCGTTCTTTCCTCTTCACTGTTTTCTTTCAGTTTTTTCTTTGAAACCAATGATGAGCTGTTGGAAAGGTATATTGGGGATGTTTTGCATTTCAAATATACTTTAAGGGTTTTGGTTTTTTCACAAGTTGGTTTAGTCTTGGGGCTTAGTCACCTATTTTATGAAATTGGGGCCTAGAAGTAATTTTCCCTAAAGTAAATGTTTAATTCACTTGGACTCTGGTGAATCTGAGACGGGCTTAGGCCCAGGTCTCCAACGGTAAACATATCCAGTTACTGCCCAACCGCCAATGGGCCTTAATCAGTTACGGGTAAAGTTGGAGAGTCAAAGAGTTTGAAATTCCGGAAAGGCATGTCATAACACAATCTTTTGCCCCCAATATACCTTCCTACCTCATAAATATTGAGAGAAAATTGCTTCCTCCATGTCGCATATTTTTTGGTTTATATGTGTCCTTCGAATTACACTAGTTAAGCATCAACTACATATTGAGGGTCAAATAGCAATTGCAATGATTTGAGGGTTATATTAAAAAAAATACTATGATGTTTGGGACGTTTATGAGAAGAATCCTTCAGAAGTCATATAAATATAGTGCTTAAATAACTCCAAGAAGCCTGCGCTGACCGTAGAAACACATTTGTTAATGTATTTCAACTTAGAACATATAAAAAGAGTGCTTAAATAACTCCAAAATACATATTATAATGGGCCTAAAGCCTGACCCAATAACAACTCAACTCCGAAAGCAACATAAACAAACCGACCCAGACACCACTAGCACGCTCATTATACGATAATAACCAAGTAGCCTACTGACCAGCAGCAAATGCCTCAACCGGGAAAGTCTTAGTGATCCCAGCCAAGCTCTTAAAATGAATTTTCCGCGTTGGGGGATCGTCAACATTGATTTCATTCACGGGAGGCCACATGATAAGCTCCTTAGCCTTCACTCCCTTGAGCTTCTTAATCCTCCCTTTTTCGACATACCCGTTAATATCTGTATCATAACTGACTAGCTTTCCCGCGATCTTGAAGTTATGCTCCACCTTCTTCTTCTGCACGATCCAAAAATAGCCGGTGGCCCTAACAGAGCCAACCTCGACTACATTTTCAAGGGGGAGGAGACCGAGGGGAAGGTTGAACTCATCGAGGAGGGAGACCGCGAGCTTTAGGCCCTCGTCGTGGCCTTTTCTCACGATTCCGCCCTCCTTTTCAGCCATCGTCCAGAGTTTGGCTGGGTTGAGGATTTTGGATGGTTGATGATTGTGTTAGTTTTTGAGGAGTAAAGTGTAGTAAAATGGGTATTTATAAGGTAAGAGCGTAGTGCAAGGCCAAATGTGTGAGACATGTTAGGTGTGTTGGGGTAACCGTCTTGCTTTTGGAATCCGGCATAGTGTAGTCCTTCAATGAGGGGTTTTCATGGTGAAGGGATAGGTTTTATTATTATTATTATTTTTTTTAGAAAAAGGATGGAATACCCCAAAGATATTCCAGCTAACTAAATTAGAAAACAAAGTGGTTGTTACAAAAAATAAAGTTCATACTCCCAACCAAGAGTATGTACTAAAGTTCAACAGAAAATACTACAATTAGTAGTACTCCATCCCCTACATACAACTGGACAGAACCTCCCCCAAACAAACTGATATAGCAAGTTTGTCAAAAGTAACCAAAAACAAAACAGAAGGAGATTACGAAGTTTTCATTCAAACAAAGTAAAGAGCATATCCAGCAACTATAAAACCCATAGGAATTCATCCCAATTGAATCACTGTGGCCGCTCCATCTTTGTTCCCAACAGCAGTAGTGAAACCAGCAGCTCTTTTTCTTCTTCTTTCTCTTAATCTGGCAGCTCGAGCAGAAATCTCCTCAACCCCTAGCCAAAATGTTGAGAAAATCACAATTTTGTTCAGGAGAGCAAGGGAGAACAAGAGAAGTCTACTTCTTATCAGAAAACAATCTATCATTGCGCTCCTGTCAGACACACCAACTAAGAGAGCAGATGCAAACACGTCTCTTCATATTAGAATTTCCATTGAATCCACTGGACCACTGAAGCCAAACTTCTTTTATAGAATTCAATCTAAATTTTTTGTCAGTGCTCAACTTGAATTGGATTGATCTCCAAATGGAGTACACAAACTCACAGTTGAGAAACAAGTGTGAATGATCTTCATCTGTTTTATCACACAAGCAACAACTCTTCTGTAAAGAAACTCCTTTTTTGGCTAGAATATCTGTCGTATTCAGAGCATTCCTTAAAGCCAGCCAAACAACTGTTGTGCGCAGCGAAAATTTCGGCAGCACCTCCGGTGCGCTAGGTGCACAACAAGAGATTAGATCACAACAAAATTATCGTTTCTTAAAGGAAACAAGAACCAAAATCCAGATATCTTATCAAAGTGAGATATCAGCTCTTCCTCTCGTCAGCTCTAGGACTGCGCGTCGAGGGAACCTACAAGCTATTACAAATCACGACAAGAACACAAGTTTTACGTGGTTCGGTAAATAGCCTACGTCCACGGGGCAAGGAGGGGGAGATCTACTACTAGAGGGAGAGAATACAACTAGGGTTTACAATCACTCAATCTAAACCCTCACACAAACTCTCAGATCCCTCACAATATCTCTCTACAAAAGAACACAAAAGACCTGCACTTTTTCTTTTGTTTTTTCTCTGCAGCCGCACGAACTCTGCAGCCGCACAAACAAATCTCCTTTGCGTTCCATGTTCACCTCTGCAGCCGCAAACACCAAAGCCGCAAAAACAAAACCCTCCTACGCACACAACCCTAGGTCAAAACTTGAAGAGATATATATAGCACACGGATTCGGGTGGGCTTTGATTTGTCCACTGGACTTGGACTTGGCTCTTCACTGGACGCGGATTTGTCCGCTGGATTTTGGACGCAACACATGGGTTCTCAAATCTCACGCGAACTCATTCACGTGGTCATGTGAAAGAAAGCAAGGGCCAAGTGTGGCCCCCCACAAACATAAACAGTTCACATGTTCACAATTCTCCACCTCGGTGAAGTTTTCTCAACACTGAGTCGACACAAAAGCAATCAAATGTCCCACTTGTTGTGGTATGAATGCAATCCACAACAAGTCGAGAACCAAACGGGAGTGCGAACACTCAACCCAAACCAAATAGTGTCTACTCACCAAATCAAACTGAGCCTACACCGACTACACCAAATGCCTCACTTGTTGAGACCCAAATAGGAGTGCAAACACTCACCCCAAATGTCGATGTCGCTCACCAAATTGGCTGCATCAAAAGACTGTCTACGTATCCTCTTGTCCAAGGAATCAAGTCGAACGTAGTTCACCCAAATGGCCTCCAAAGACCTAAATCCACTAGAAGAGTTCGCAACCCTTCTCCAACATCACGATCAAGTCTATGGCTGATAGCACCTCCAATGGCCCCAAACTAAAATAATCCAATCATCTCCACTTGAGATGAACCAATGACCATATTCAGGCTATATCTATCAGCTATACTCAAATCAATCAACCTATCATCTGTATCCAAATCAACACGATTCCCAATCTGTGTCACATCAGCTGGAATCCCAAATGATGTAGTATGATCCGGAGTCTCCACCCAACGTGGAGTAGCATCACTCTCCACCTGCTACGATGTCCCTAATATCTGATCACCACTCTCCACCTGCCGAGAGTCAAACATGACATACCTGCTCAGAACAAAGTCAGAAGCCAATACCTGATAATCAAACACGCCTCTGAATCCTAAATGTGCTATCGGATCAAATCTCACATCCACGATGTGACCAAGTGCTGGGTAGCCAAACATCCGACGCAACCCAAAATCTGAAGCAGCTCCATCAGATCTCATATCTCTACATGCAGCAGTCGGCAACCTATACATAAGACGGCCCAAATATGTCGTAGCCTGCACACCAATACCAATGCTCGACATCAAATACTGATCCTCCTCCAGAAAGGAACAACTCCCCAAATCTGCCATCTCGCCTCGTCGCCTCAAAGTTTCCACACCAATGAAGTGTCTCCTATTGTCGTGAGCTCAGTAAAAATGTAAGAGAGAACCCCTACCATAATCAGAATGTCGGGTTACCTTTCTACCAACACACTTCCTCCATCTGTTGTGGGTTTTTAGGACTTCACACCAACGGGACTTGGTTGCAACCCACCAATGTCTAGAGCAATCCCCAATTGCGAAAACCACATACCTATTACCTCCCAATGATGCTCTCTTGGAAGGCCCCCGAATGCCTGAATGAACACCCCTCAGAAGACCCCTCGAATGATGGATAGAAGTGCCTAACTCCACCCTAGTCTTCTTGCTCATACTAATCGGTTCACAGGACTTTAAACTGCAGGTCATAGCACTCCTCAACAACCTATGCACGGCATTACTAATCATATAACCCAGCATCAAACAACGTCACAGTCTAGCTGAATCTGATGAAGTCGTCATCTCTCTATCAATCTCCGTGCTTCCGAGCAAATAATACAAATTGCTCCTTCTGACGCCCTTCATCACAATCATGGATCCCAATGTGACCTTCAAACATGCATCCACCAAGGTCACTTTATAGCCAGATGCCACCAAAGCTCCTAGTGAAATGATGTTCTTCGACATCTGCGGAACGAACCTCACTTCATCCAACTCCTGAATCACTCTGTCATACATTCATATACGAACGATATCAATACCATCAATTGAGCATGTATGTCCATTACCCATGAGCACAACATCCTCTCTTTCCAACTTCTGAAAGCTGGAGAACCAATCCCTCCTAGGGCAAATGTGGTATGAAGCACCCGAATCCAATATCCACTCTGTAGAGTTGGCAACAGAAACTGATAGTAGTGCAGACAATGAATAGCCTGAAGAATCCGAATCTGAATTGTTGCCACTAGTCTTGACAACATTCACCTCTGAAGCTTGTACAGCTTTCCCTTTATTCTTCTCGGCTCGATCTAACTTTGGGCATTCAGCTTTCCAATGTCCATCCTCTTTACAAAAGGCACACTGATTCCTATGAATCCCACGATGTGCACCTCTAGACCGCGACCTTCTGCTTTGGTTTTAACCACAGCCTTGAACTACTAATGCATCTCCCGATGCCTTCTCGGAGGACTCATTAACACTCTTCCTCAACTGATAATTCACCAACGCTGAGGTCACCTCCTTGTTACTAACAGTAGTTCTTCCATTAATCATAGTTAGGACAAAAGTACCATAATCATCATCGGGCAACGAACAAAAAAGTAGCACCGCCTTGTCTTCATCCTCAACCATGATATCCACATTAGCCATGTCTGAAAGTAGCTTTGTGAAGTTATTAACATGCTCCCTAATGGAAACTCCCCTCTTCATCTTGAACTGGTAAAACCTCTTCTCAAGTGAAGCCGATTCTCAATGCTCTTAGTAAGATACTTTTCATTTGAGTGTTTCTCACATCTTCTTCACCGACGTCTCGTTCATCACGTCATAAATAAGATCCGTCGTCAAGCATGACCGAATAACTCCACACGCCCTACTATTCATCTTCTTCCAAACCTTAGTTTCCATATCGACAGGTTTCTCTTGTAACTCAAGAGTCTCCTCCAAATTCTGAGCGTCCAAGGCGTCCATCACCTGACACCTCCACAATCCGAAATTAATCTTGCCGTCGAACTTGGGAACATCAATCTTTATGTTATTGATGCTCAAATTATGTATCGTCTTCGTAAGAGACGATCCCGATGTGCTTGTTTCACCCATGTTGTCGATCTAACCCTTCAAATATGAATCCTTCAGCGAATCCTTCAAACAAGCTCCCAAGTCCAACCCGGTGCTCTGATACTACTTGTTGTGCGCAGCAAAAATTTCGGCAGCACCTCCGGTGTGCTAGGTGCACAACAATAGATTAGATCACAACAAAATTCTCGTTTCTTAAAGGAAACAAGAAAAGCTAGATATCGCATCAAAGTGAGATATCAGCTCTTTCTCTCGTCAGGTCTAGGACTGCGCGTTGAGGGAACCTACAAGCTATTACAAATTACGACAAAAACACAAGTTTTACGTGGTTCGGCAAATAGCCTACGTCCACGGGGCAAGGAGGGGGAGATCTACTACTAGAGGGAGAGAATACAATTAGGGTTTATAATCACTCAATCTAAACCCTTACACAAACTCTCAGATCCCTCACAATATCTCTCTACAAAAGAACACAAAAGACCTGCACTTTTTCTTTTGTTTTTTCTCTGCAGCCGCACGAACTCTGT